CTTAGCATTCGGCTTCGCTGGTGCTGCCTTAGCATCGGACTTGGCTTTGGCCTTTGCTTTTGGTTCCGGTGCTGGGGTAGCAGGAGCCTCATGCTTGAATGGACAATTCTCCCTTGAGCACGAACCGGTGTTCTTGAAAGAAAAGCATATTCGATTTCCTCCTCCAGATGGACTTGGAGTTCTCGTTCTCGGCGTAAAGGGTCGCTCTGGAGTCTTCTTCGAGTGGCTAAATGGGCACTTGTCACCATTCCGACACCCTGCATCAGTGAAATGAAACTTACAGCGGATTTGCTTCTTGCTCTTGTCACCTCTGTTATCCGCTGACTCACTTCTCGTCTTCTTCTTGGGCTTCGGCTTGGTCTTCGCATGACTCTTCGCCTTGCTCTGAGGCAACACAGGTGCTGCTTTATCTGGCTTGGTAGGAGATGCTTTGACCCTTTGCGGCAGGAGCTGCATTTGGCGTTGGCTTCTCCGGTACCTTGGCCGGTGCAGCGAGCAAGTCCTTGCCCTTGAGCATTTGGTGCAGGCCGATTTGGGTCTGAGTGAGATTTGATTGTTCTCGCCTCCGCATGATGGTGCGATCGATGATCTTCATGAGGTTGTCATACGACCGGTCCTCATGATCATAGGGCAGATGGTCATAATGCATGCCCAACTCCATCTTCATTGCGGGCGAGTCCTTGATCTTGCTGTATAAGCAATCACGGAGAGCCGTCTTGGATGGTATGTCCTCTAGTCTCATCCGTCCGAGAACTTCCAGCCATGTCTGCTTGAACGTATGAAGCTTGTTGTCGCCCTGGTACTGGAGCTTCACCAAGTATTCGAGAGTGATGATCATACCCAGACGGTCATGTGTTCGGAAACTTTCGTACATCATTGCGATGATTTGCCGTCCCTTGATGATCTTCCCTTCAGGCCTACTGATGTAATCGTTGGCCTTCCGATTCACTTCAAGGTACAAATCAGCGGATTTGTCACCACCGGCGCGTAACATCGCCACCATGGCAACTCCCAACTTGACGTCTATGCTCTTGAACTTCTTGTGTCCAGAATCATTCAGAGCCTCGACGTCGGGGAATGGATTGAAAGCTGGTGCCAGCCACAACATCCAGTCCTCATGATTTGGGTCAGCTGATGCTCCCAGAACATTTGCTGTGCATACTGAACGCCAATTGTTCAAGTGAGTGAGAACAGGCCAGGGGGGGACCGTCACTTTGTCGGCCTTTTTTTTGTGGATATTCTCACCTCCGTCACCTCAGGATCTGCGTCTCCGTCAGGATCACGAGCACCAGGATGGTCCGGATCGGGATCTGGCTTACCTCCACCCTTCTTTTTCTTGTCTTCATCATCATCGTCGGGTGGATCAGGAGGGTCATACCCTGCACCGGTACCTTCCTCGTGTCCTTCATCTTCATGTTCTTCACCAGCTTCACCGCCGTCTCCGTCTCCGTTGTCTTCCTGCATCGTTTCAGCGAATAATCTCCACTCGTCACGATCAGCTCTGAGACGTTGTTCGGCTTTCTGAGCTTTGAGAACTTCGCTCCGCAGATCAGCAATCTTTTCTTCATACTGTTCCGCGATCTCTTTCTCGATTTGTCGTCTCCTTGCCTCGTGGATTGAATTGTCAACAGCGACAGGCGTTGCCCTGTGGGCGACATTGGGATTTGTGCCCTTCACCGATGCGAGTATACCGTCGATATCAACAGGTCTTGAAGAGCTGGCGGATGCTGTAGATTTCGATCCCAACATCCCGCGATCCTCCAAGAGTTCACGCAACTGTCGATCACGTACAGCTGCCGCATCACTTCGTCCATGAAACCCACTTGGTACACCGAAAAGATTGGTTACCCCAGGCGTGGAACGCTCTGGTGCTGGATCGCTGATGCCAGGCACGTTGTGCTCTAGCATTTGATCCGCCACAATCGGTGTTGCGCTGGACGAATGGACCTCGCCTCTCACATTCCCAGTGAAGAAGTTTCCACCAGTGAACAATGCGTCACTCGCTGCAAGGTTCTTGTCCTTGTTCAATTCCGAGAATGCGAACTTCCCTTTGGCGACTGGACTAACTTGACTAGGAGAACGTATTTCAGGGGATCGCACCTCACCTCCTACGGAAAATGCGGTCACTACGTCCTTCCCTACATGTTCCCAGCCCGACTCAGTAGTCCTCGAAGACATCGGCATGCTCGAAGGCCGGGCTACTCCAGCATGATAACCGGAATTCCGCGCTGCCTCCAGCTCGCTTTGTGTCCTCAATTGAAGATCTTCTTGCGCTTTGAGCGCTTTCCTGAGTTCACTCAGCTCATCGTGCAAGGTGGGCAATGCACGCCTTGCATGATCTTCATTCTGCTGAAGTTGGTTCTCTGCGTCTTGCATCCTTTTCACAGCCATCTTGCGGTACTCTTCCTCCTCGCCAAGACGTTCGCGAAGCCGAAGTCGTTCCTGGTCAATCGCTGCATTGTTGCCAGCCAGACCCTGAATCTCGTTTATTGTTCGCAACTCCTGGTTCCTGGCCAAGTGGAATCGTTCCTGCATAGCTTGAACTGCTTGTTCTGAACTTGCCGTGTTCGATCGGAGAAACAGGTTCTCTCTGGCTTGTTCATGAAGTTCCTGAGTCAGATGCTCATACTCGCGTGCCATGAGCTCGCCATCACCTTGTGCTCGTGCCTCCAACCGTACAAAGTTGGTGGCTGCTTCAGTGCGAAATGCGTGTAGCTGTTGAGCTAGTTCTTCGGCAACGGCATGTGCTCGATGTTGCTGAGCAGAGTTCTGCTCATCCATGCGAAACAACGCTGTTTCATAGTCTCGCTTCATCTCCTGATTGACATTGTTGATGTGTCGCATGGCCAAGCATGCATGATCACGTTGTCGTTCCAATTCTTCGATGCGGATTCCAGATCCTTCATCCTCTTGCTGCATCTCCTTGATCTTCTCCATCAGGGTTTGAACAATTCCCTCGTACTCTTGCACTTGACTGCGGTAGTACATCTGCTGTGCAAGGTTTGACGCTTCAAACTGCTGAGGTATTGTCAATCCCTGGTAGGGGCTTGGACCATCGGCGATAGCAGGAGTCGTGACTGACGAGGCATCACCTCGCACGGGAATCGTGTCGAGAGTCATATCCAAGTCGTCAGCCTCACGTGGTTGGTTGGTAACCATTCGGTTCCACGTCATGGACTTGTCACGTCCCCGGGTAGCCGATGTTCTAGATCGTGCTGAAGAGCTTCTCGAAGATGATGGTCGCGATTTCTTATCCACTGTCTTTACTCCTTTGTCCTTTGCCCTGGACGGGGTCCGAGGGGCCTGAAAACCAGACGCTTCAGATCGTCGTCCTGGAGCCTTGCTCGTCCTCGATCCTGAGGATGTCGGACGCGAAGGCGTAGATGCTCTCGGTAGACTCTTTGCTTTTGCTTTGGGAACTGCCTTTGCAATGGCAAGCGCAGAAGACTGACCTTTGTCGTCTTCCGTGGAGCTATCAACGGATTGCACCACTGTGTCGTCAGCTGTTGACTCACCAACTGCTGGCGCTGCCACGTCGGCACCGAAAGTCATTGTCGTATCTTGACTTGATCCCGAGTTCATTGTGGTCGTAGTAGATCAAGTAGTCTTTGCTGCAGAAAGGCAGAGCCGCGTACGGCTGATAACCTGCGTGGGGATTTGATCTTGATGATGTTCGCTGTCGCTCACCCCACAAAGAGCTATATTGAATAATGGCGTGGTTGCCCTCTACAGACTCGATCACTGTCACACTCACTTCCACACTCACAAGCCACGCTCCTATGCAGGCAGATCCAGAGCTCGCTTGTTTTGCACCCTCGCGGCCAGCGATGGATTGTCCGTGCACGGGATGGCTCTGTCCCTCGGATGTCACAGAAGACAAGTAGCTATTTTAGCTACGGGCAATGCTTTCTAGAGCTTGTGCTCATTCTTGAACCAATGTTGCATGGGCGGTCATACACATAGGTTGGATAGGCATTGCGGTGTGCGTAGCACTTCCACAAGCCTACACCTAGAGACGAGGGACGCGTAGCGTGCCTCCTCTCTCGCACTTTACAGTCTTGCTCACAGCTCTTATAGTGACACCTTAGAACTTGACAAGGCATCGTAGTCCGTTCGCATCTACCACTTCTACCACTTCTACTACTTCTACTACTTCTACTACTTCTACTACTTCTACTACTTCTACTACTTCTACTACTACTACTACTACTATTATTATTATTACTACTACTACTACTACTACTACTACAAGTACTACTACTACCAACAACAACAACAACAACAACCGAGAATAACACTACTAATTAAAAAGTTCTACTACCACCACCACGAGCACTTGCACTACTCCTACTCCTACAATTACAACTACTCCTCCTCCTCCAATTACAACTACTCCTACTCCTGCTCCTACTCCTGCCCATTCCCTACTGCTACTCCTACTCCCATGGTGAGTGCACATACCTGTTTCAGTGCACATGTCTCTGCAGCCAGCTGTCAGTTGTTAGTTTGCATGTTGTACATAATTTGTAAACGCCAACTTTTTGGCTCAAGTGCTTGCTTTCTAAGCAGTGCCAAGTGTGCACGGCTGTAGTGAGTTAGGTAGCTTCGCGCCGCGCGGAGTTGCTACTCGCGACGGCCTGCATCTTTGCAGGCTTAGGGACTGAGAACGTGCGAGTGGACTCGCGAAGCAAAAAGCAGCTGCCGCTCCGCGTTTGCTCTTTTGCAAGACCGGTTTGCGGTGCTTCACAATTGGGGGCTGTTCTGGGAATCGCTCTCAGTTCCTTCGCGGCCCGTCGGTGGCGCGAGCTTGAGTAGCTCGCCCATCCCCGGTCCGCTCCGGACGCGTGGGCTTGAGCTCACGCTTGCGGCCCTTAGGTGGGCGCGGCTGCTCCGCGCTCCTTTTCCGCTTCCGCCATGTCGGAGGAAGTGGCGGGTCAACCTGAAGGCGTCACCTTGCTTCAGGCCATTGTGAGGCAGGTGATGTTCCTTACCCGCGGCGTATGGGTTACGTCGCGTGGCTCAAGCGGCGGAAGACCACTGGGAGCCGACCGCTTCGTAAGCGCGACGGTCGCTATACTTCGCCGGAAGTGGAGGCAGCCCTTTGGCGCTCCGTCATGTCCTTCCTCCACGACGCTGAGAATGGAGAAGAAGATGACGAGGAGGAGGAAGAAGAAGATGAGGAGGTCGATCCTCTTCAGGAGGCCCTCGGCGAGGAAGCCGGAGAGGGCCCGGAGTTGATCCCTGACGCGGGAGCAGGAGTTGGCTCCGTGTCGCCTAGCGGCCCCATGCGGACCGCTGGTGCGGTCGCGGGAGGCGCGCTGTCGGCTATGGCCACCGGGGTGGTCGCGGCCGTCTCCGGCGCGCTCCCCGCGGCAGTCCCGGCTCTGACCGATGGTCGGGTGGGACCTTCCGGTCCGCCGTCCACGGCTGGGTCGGTGCCTGGCACGGCTGAGTCCTTGCAGGCAGAGCTGCGCGAGCTCTATCGGCCAGACCAGGAGCCCGTGGCGGATTACATGAACCGCATGGCTCGTATCGCCGAAGCGCATGGTGTTTCGGTTACGGCCGGTGAGCTTGCTATGCTCACCACTAAGGCAACTCTCCTTGCGGAAGAGTTTGCTCAGGTCGGGGGCGACTGGCACCCGACCAGGATGGTTAGGCGCCTGCGGAGCCGCTTTGCGGTCGCAGCGCTCATGCAAGGAGGGTGGTGACGGCGCGGATGCCGCCGACGTCCAGCTGGAGATTCAGGCCATAGGTGAGCTGATCCTTGCCCTCGGCGGCAAGCAGAGCGCTAGCGGCTAGCGCCCTCTCCCTCCGACGTTCCCCCTGCGACGGTGTATACACCGCCACCGTTGCCACCGCTGGCGCACGCGCCAGCGGGTGTGCCCGTGGCGGGCAGTGTCGCCAAACGGGCGCCGTTGACTTGGATAAAGGGGACTCTCCTTTGCGTGCCCGCTTGGCAGCGCTGGAGATGGAGATCGAAGCCCTGAGGCGGGGCTCCGATGGCGGCGCGTCGGTCGCTGACGGCGCCGGGCAGGTGGCGTCGGACCTAGCCACTGCCCTTATAAGGAGCAGACGGAGGCCTTGAAGGAGGCTCTGGCGGCCCGCGGCGGGCAGAATTCGATCACTACCGTCAAAACGGACCTTAACTGGCCGACCTTGACGGATGACAAGAGTGACTCGAAGGACGTCGTGCTCTTTTACGAAGAGTTCGAAGACGTCTGCGGCTTGGCGAATAATTGCCGTGGAATGTCCTTGTGGGAGAAGCTCGTAGCCCTATAGGCGCGCGGCGGAAGGGGTCACGCGCCAAAACGTACACGAATGCGTATAGGGCAGCCTGGAAGTCTGGAGAGGTGCTCTCGGACCAGAGGCGGTTTATCTCCGAATTAAGACTAAGCATCTTATGTTCGGAGAGTCCCGGGAGGAACGGGAAGTCAGGGTGGACGGTGAGCACGTCGCCCTGACCAAAGGCCGCCTGACGGGGCATGAGTTTGTGAGCCCTTGTTTGAGGCTTCCATCGCGGACCTGGAGTCCGTTGGACTCGGGAAGACTCCCAGGGAGCTGTACCTGAGCTACCTTCGCAAGATGCCGCCGCACTTGCAGAAGGAGCTCCGCTCAGACAAGCGGCTCTGGCCGGGCCATTCGAAGGAGGTTGGGCTCCGTTCGCCGGCCACGTGGGAGGAGTCCCACAAGGTCGTGCTCGAGTACGAGCAGCGAGAGGCGGCGCACCGAGCAATGGCCCACTCGACGTACACGAGCACGCCGGGTGCCGATACTTCCCACCCGAACGCGGCCGCTTTGAAGCAGGCGCGTAAGGAGATCAAGGATCTCAAGGCCGCTGTGAAAGCTGCGGCCAAGTCTGGCGCGGCTACCAGGGACAGCACCCTGGCGGCCGGTGCAGGCGCCAAGGGAGGGGGCAAGGGAGTAGGGAAGATCTGCTTCCATTTCCGTGACCACGGAAATTGCCCCAAGGGTGACTCGAGCCCGTACAGCCACGACAAGGAGCTTCGGAAGCAAGATCTGGCTGCTAAGCGGGGTGAGTCCACCCTGGCCACTAAGCAAAATGGCAAGGGGCCGAAGGGCGGCCCTAAGGCCCTTCTTTGCTAAGAACGGCTCTTGCAGGAAGGGTGCCCAGTGTGACATGGTGCACACGGGCAGAACCAGGGTGGCGAGGGCCAAGGCGCCCTGCCGGCTAACTGGGGGCCGCCCCATGAGCAATCCCTTTGCTGCCTCTCGGAAGCATGGGAGGGTCCCATCTGGAGTGGCGGTGCCTGTGCACGCCCTGAGCAGGGGTGAGAAGGGTCGGTTCGCTGCCTTGGACAACCTGCCAGGCGACTGGTGGTCGCTGGCGGACAACGAACCTGGCGGTTACCATACGGTGGTACAGGTTCTGGGCAAGTGTATGCTCGATGGTTGTGCTGGCGCCAATCATGTCACCGAGGAGCTCTTGGTCGGCATGTTGAACCGTGCGACCGAGCTCGGTATTGGCACCGAAGACCCTCGGTTTCCGGTTGTGCGACTCGTGCCTCTCAAGGGCGCGGCTGTCTTGCGCGTTACCCTTTTGGAGGGCAAGACGGCCGAGGCGTCCAGAGATATTCGTGCGTTGTAAAATCGCCGCCCGAGGGTCGAGCGATTGGCACGGGCTTATCCTTGGCGGCAGGGCTTTGGACTGCGCCAGCCGGATGGGCTTGGGGTTTCGGCCCGGGCCAGAGCACCATATCTTGGATACGCTCAGTATCAAGATCCCTCGGTGCGAGGACTTCACCCGTGTCCGTACCAGCACGGGCTGCTCGACGGGTTTAAACCGTCGGTTACAAGAAGATCGGAATCTAACAGGTCAATAGTCTATTCGGGTGTTCGATTCCGGCCATGTTGTCATCCTTAACTATCCAAAACAGTTCAGGCAGGAAAGCTCGGAGCTCGAGAACTGTAAAGCGCGATCAAACTGTGCATGCACCGGCATGCTAAGCTCGGATACACGGATTAAGAGCACCGGTATACGTCGCACTTGAGCCAAGAAAACAAAAGATTTGAGCCACCTGTACAAACAAACGGTTTAGGGTGAAGTTAAAGCTTTTTGCACGAGTAAAACGTTTGAGCCACACACACACACACAAAACTACCTATATAGGGTGCTGGGTTAGGGCTTGGGTTTTAAGGTGTCGATTCAGAGTACCTTGCATACTTTATGTGTATATGTCTACATAATATTATATAAGCATGTGTACGAGTGAATCTGTATATATCTATCTACATACACACGCACGTTCATGTATGGAGAGCGCACATGTTAATATTCAGTACATACATATATATATATATATATATGGTACTGTGTGAAGATGCGAAAAGTGCAGCTCGATCCAGCGCTTTGCTGCAGGCGTTCGCACGAAATGCCCGAGCTCACACGCGCATATACCTTAGCTCGTGAATTACAACCCATTTATATTATATATATATATATACACATATATACTGGCTTGCATTAATCCGGCGATGGTCGCAATCATTGGCAAAGCCCAGGAGCCGCATCGAATCTGATCCATCGATTTATCGAATCAAATCGCATGGTATCAATCCTCGGCTCAGCTTTGGCTTGGGGTTTGGTTTTATTCTAGGGGCACTTGAAAAATCAATTCATTGATTTACATATTCGGAATTAAGATAAAGTTTCCGACAGGTACAAGTATATAAGGTTAGAGGGGAGTTGTTTGTTCCATGGTACCCAGTAATATGAACCAAGATGCGGTGCATTTCAGCAAACTGCATCCACAGATCCTCAGGTCCTCAGTTCTTACAATAATTTGCGAGTAGCGAATTCCAACATATTTCAGATCCGCACTTCATATAGTTATAACTCGATCGAGCAGCTGAAAGGCCCATCATGCTATGTAGCCGGCATCTAGTCCAGTCTATTATACTGTCTACGCCAAAGGTCTGAATCTAATTGAAGCCTGAAATATGGCTCGAAACCCTAAACCTGTACGCACAGCAAAATGTAAACAGGTTCGGAATAAAGGGTAAGATGTCCTGATCGAGCACATATGCACGGCGTCGTCTTGCATATCGAATCAGCTTGAAATTTTGCGACATGCCAGCGCTAGCTATCATAACACTTGCAATCGTGCACGACTGTCGGCCGTCATTTTCATCGCCACTGCAATGCGAACTGGAGAATATACTTGAAGACGATATGTCCCGAGAGATGCGCCTGGTGGGATCGGACGGCGAGCTGTTTGCATCGCCTAATCCAATCTTCGTTCTAGTAGTTTGAAAAAAAGCGGCCGTTAAAGGCACGATCGTCAAGTCCACGCATATCGAATATCAGGTGCTCGTAGTAGTGGCACTTAGGTCGTACCGGCCACCTTGTGGCACCATACTCCAGCGCTTCTTCTGCCAGCTTGTTGTACGACGACCGGTACAACATGTAGTAGCTCTCGAGATCGCATGTCTCAGAAATTGAGTGCAAGCGCCTGCCACATGCGACTATGATCTTGCAACTAGAACTTTAAAACGTCAAACATAATCCGAAAACCAATTCAGCCCGGGCACTGAGCGGAGAGCATTGTCTCCTCGAGCTTAGCGAGGCCAATGCAAACTGCTGCACGCAACCTGAAGTTGAGCTGATTATTGTAGAAGACTAACCGTTTCTACAGTTAGGGTTAAGGATAAATATTGGGTTTATGGGTTTAGGGTTTATAGTGTATTTTGGTATAGCAGCATAGCAGGATTTGGTGTGTGGAATTCTGGTATTGGTGCTGTCGTATATTTTGGATTAAAGGTTGGGGTTTGAGGCCTATATATGTCGATAGACCAAAGTCACCTATCACCCGAGCAAGCAGAAACCAGGCTTGTTTTGTTGACTCCGGGGCTTCGATCTGGTGAGGAACCAATGACCATAATAGCTATTATTGTACTTGTATTTTGCAACTTCACCCTAATATTGACAAGTTGATTGGACCTTTCTACTGTAAAGCAATGAAGGATCATATGTTTCGATTTTAATTGAAGAGCCAACATCCGACTCCAAACTCGAGCTAGCCATAAATCCTTTTATTGTCTGAATTTGTCTGATTCTCCCAAAGCGCGCACAGAAACACACAGCACAATGCACAAATAGAATACTTAAACTTCCAAGGCACTGAAGGAAGAGGCTCTCGGGCTCAGCATTCAGGAGTGCCAAGACGTAAGCCTTCATCCACATCATCAGGTAACGTGCCGCGCTGGCACTGAGGACCTTTTGCGAAATCGTCCGGTACTCCTTGTGGTTCGGCCGCAATGTCTTCGAACAGAAAAGTTTTCTGCGGGCTCTGTCGGCCACTCCTGAGATCGCATTTATAAGGCATCCGGGTTTCAAGTCTCGATATCGATCATGTTGGCGTCCAACTAAAATTATCCGAGCTGCCCAGAGACTCGCACCAGCCCCTGTAGTTTTCCCACATTTCAGTCAATGCTTGATCGCGGTGAGCTGTAGCAGCGTCAGTCAAATCCAGCATCATACTCAGGATGACATCTGGAAAAATCGCCAAGTGCAGTAAATGCATTACATCACCCAGGATTCCTGAGACAAATCAGGATAGGTTTAGATCCAAACTTGCAGGCCTGCGAAACTGCTCAATTATTCTTCTAATGCAGATAGAGTGCTCCACGGGGAGAATCCGATCATTGATGACAAAGGTGATTCACCATGGATTTGTCGGAATTCGCCGGCATCGGCGATGAGCCTCGGAACCGAGTTTATTTTGGGGGACACCAGGGTTTGTCCTTAAGCCACTCAGTAATAGGTATTATTGCCACCCAGCCACGTCCCTCTGTGCGCTGCATTGCGACCGAAGGCAGTGTACAACAACTCGGGGTCGTTAGGTGCAGCAGGATCTTCCGACACGTAGGTCCAGGCCAAGGCCTAGCTGGTGCGATTGAAGAATTTCAAATAAATCATGCAATGAATGTGTGTTGCTAGTGCAGCTGGAGATTCCCCGCAATAATGACACATCATCTTCCTCGAGTAATCGCCTGGGCCATTACCCGTACGATTCATGGAGCTCTTGATTTCAGAAGTTGATCGATTCCAACATGCAACATATTGCTAGTGAGGCTCGGTGCAGGTAGAAAATCTTTTTCACAAACTCCAAATCCGCCTGCACCCCATCGAATATTCCAATATACGGCCCACATATGCGTTGGCCAGCAAGCTTGAAGCGCTGTGGCATGTACCCGGGGCCGAAAGCATTACCCCAAGGATCTGCCGTCGGATACACTCCGGCTCCTTATGTTCAAACACAAAAAGCTGGCATCTAAAGTAGAATCACTTGTTGCATCGAAGCAGCCTAAACAGTCGAACGACCACTTGATCGTTTCAAGTATCGTGTGGCGGCAATCACCAGAATGATACTGCATGTTCATGCAGCTGATCCTAGGTGCAAGTTTCTGTGTAGAACGGCGCTACAATAGCTGGGCAATGGACTCTCTCCATATATTTGCCAAAATACAAGAAACGTGACAGCATTGTCGATGAGGAAGCCATCGGCGCCAAGAGTGCAAAACATTCAAAGGTTTGATGTCCTGATGAGAGATAATTAGGCCAGCAACATAGTCTGATGCAATATAGATCCGTTGTTCAGCCGAGTGACTCGTAGACTCCGCCCCATCCCCGTATATCCTCAATGGGATACAGAATCTGGGATCGGTGGCCTCAGAGTCATGCAAGCGCAATGGCATTGCACGAATCAGAAAAATGCACTATGCAGTCTTGTAGCCTGAAGAAGCGGGTGCTGCCGAAACCAGTCGGTGTTGGATAATTCGTGCCAATACTTCAGCAAATCATTTTCCTCGATCGGCTGGGTATTTCCACACAAGGGACATACAATGCAATCTTATAAGTAACTGTTGCGATGTATAGGTTGCAGAGAGTAGATAAGGATAAGTGGTTTCTTCGCTAAAACAACGATATAGGCTAGGTGACTAATATATATATATATATATATATATATGTTATATACATATAGGCTAGGTGACTAACTTATTCATATATACACTAGTCGAAACATTAGCTCGAGAGAGATATAAAATATAATCCCGAGACAGGTCGAGGGAGAGAGAGAGAGAGAGAGAGAGAGAGAGAGAGAGAGAGAGAGAGAGAGAGAGAGAGAGAGAGAGAGAGAGAGAGAGAGAGAGAGAGAGAGAGAGGCAGCGACCATGAAAAAACCAACAAAAACAAACAGAGTGGAGTGATATATCATATCTACAAGCAAAACACCAGAGAGAGAGAGAGAGAGAGAGAGAGAGCGAGCCAGAGAGAGCAGACTGAAGTATTTGTGCCCGCGAGAGAGAGAGAGAGAGAGAGAGAGAGAGAGAGAGAGAGAGAGAGAGAGAGAGAGAGAGAGAGAGAGAGAGAGAGAGAGAGAGAGAGAGAGAGAGAGAGAGAGACAGGGAGGAAAGAATGAAAGAAGGAGAAAGACTGCCCTGCATAACAAGCATCACTCCTAGTTTGAGCCAAGCTCCTTGCCCGTAACCATTTCGATCTTGCCGAAGTCATAGAGGGCACCGATAATCTCACGCGGCAGCAGCAAATGGTGCTTGATGAGGCGTGTGACCGAGCCATGCCGATCCTCGTATACCTTGGGGTGACACTCATGCTGCATTTTATGCTTTAGGGGACATGGAAGCCATGCAGTTGAGACAAGTCACGGATTTGAGCTGTATCCTCATTCTATCAAGAATTGATGGCAGATCAAAAATCATATTGTCATAACATGATGCACTGCCATACCCAATAAGTCGTTAAGTTGTAGCTGGGACTCTGGAAAGGTTGTGGTAGGATCTTTCGCCACGGTTGTTTATCAGCCCATCGAGTCAGAGCCCGCATTCGGCCCCATCCATTCTGACAGATGAAGCTTTGGGCCAGTTGCTGTAGATCCTTCCTCAGGCAATAGCAAAACAGAAAGCATTATTGAAGCAGCAGTTCATGCAATAGTGCACTCAAGATGCGGCACAATCGACTGAGGAAGAGAGCGGAAACGAGCCAAAGCAGTATTGAGCTCTTCGAGAGGGACCTCGCGACGCCGGTGAGTTATGCGGCAACTTAATGGGTAGCCCTATATAATCTTGAGCCCACCCCTAGTCAACCCAAGCTAGTAAAACCCAACTGAAGCTACGATGGCTTTATACAGAGAGCGTTGGGATTTGAGGTTGTCGGCTTGGTTTAAAGTGTTTGGGCTTTAGTCTTCGGGCCTTAGGAATGGTTCCCCCTAAAACCGGCGAGGCGATACATTCGGTCGAGAGCTTTACAATAGATCAGATCTAGTATAATTAGAAAGGCTTGGGGATTTCGGGTTTGCGCTTCAGCTTTTTCGTGGGCTCAGCTCTTCGGATTTCGGGCAGCAAACAAAGTGCTGATGAAGCCACATCGACTCCTGGGTTTGAAGCTACTGGTATAGGCCTAGGCTGTTTTTGGGTCAAGATTCTGGGGTTTGGGGTAAGTTTTGGGTGTTTCCTATTTTTATTAGTTTTTGATGTAGGGTAGGCTTTATCGTGTTATACCTTTAGGTTGATACCGGTGGTTTCGGAATAAGGGTCCGGTTGTTCGGGTCATGTAGCATTAGATGAAGAACCATGAACCGACAGCTAGCTGAGAGGCAACCTGGCCTGCCCATGAGAAAGCAATCGCAAAATATCATCACAGGTTTCCTGCACGTAGTTCGTGGCCCAGTTGCTGCCAGCTGCAGCCATCCATCATATCGAAAGTCAAGCCACATCATGTCAGAGTTCCGAAGCATCCAAACAAATGACTCTAGATAAGTCTTTGAGATGGTGATCTAGCCATATCTGCAAGCTTAAAGGTCCTATATGGTGCCTTGAAACACAGCAGAAGCCAAGAACTAATATCAGGATAAATATGATGCTGCAAACTGGAGAAACAGATAACTCAGAAAATTCAAGATCGATTACAGCTAAGTATGGTGGAGTCATGGACTAATTGTGGGTTTGCATGAGTACTAGCAGTACATATCCCTAGCGCTTGAACGAGAACATTACAGACCTTAAACCCTCTGACCTGCGGGGTTCTGATGTGTTGTGTGTCGGAAGACTTGCATGAGCTCAGGTATAACAAACTGCGAATGCTGCTGGACTCCTGGACAATGCGCTGGCAGTGATGGTCACGATCTGCTGGCAGGCTGGGACAACACGACTTTTGCCCGTCGTCGGCACATCACACTCCAGCTCATCGACCCCTATGATCACTAACCCAAGCAGTTCTTATGCTCAGGGATGCTCAGGGTCAAAACACTAAGCTTGAATGCACTAGGCACACGCAGCACCCGACCTATCCAGCAAGTGCCCTGTGTATGTTCGACAGCATAGCCCAACACACTTCACAACTTGCCGATATATGGCCTCAGACCTGGTTTGTTCGAGAGCTGCCTGTGCTTGCAATACAAGCCACCCACAGCCCCATTCAAGCATCTTCGATTTAGCAGCGGGCTCGCTTTGCAGAAGCCTGTTCGGCCTCTTCGGGCCATTCCTCCTCCGCTTCCTGCTGATATGGCGTTTCCTGATCAACCCCTTCATCATCTTCATATTGTTCATCATCTTCCTGGCCTTGGCCTGCCTGCTCCTTCTTCTCTTTTTCCTTTTCTGCTTTCTCGCGCTTTCGCTTCTCCGCGGCTTTGCCTAAGTCTTTACTCTTTTGCACTTCTGGTATACATACTCGGTTTGTATGAACACATAAGAACAAATTAAGCTTGGGGGCGGCGTTCCTGCCCCTGATAAATCCCTTCGGCATCAAGGACTTGTCGTTGAAACTCCTGCCGGCCCTACATATGTTAAATCCAAATCTGTGCCAAACCTCTAAAGAAGTCGATCCTTGAGCGGGTCGGCTTTGTAAGCATTCAGAACCTCCAGGCATTGCGGAAGCGGCGTGAATGCGAAGACCATCCCCTGGATCCTGGGATAGCAACATGGTTCTTCATTGGGTTTGTGGTGCTCGGGGCTGCGATAAATTGGGGCCTCAGGGTTAACTATAGGGTTGGCTAGGGTCCGGGCTCTAAGTTTATATGATAAGAGCTGCGGTGTGCACAGTCGAAGCTAGTGTTGTCGGCGGTTTGGGTTTGGTGCGGGTTTCCGAATTGTGTGGGAGTTCAGGTTATAACGGCTAAAAGGAAATAACCTGTTGTGCATTCAAAGTACTCGTCGCGGATACGGGTGCACTCGGAAGATATCCACCCCAATTGTTGGACCTGCGACTCCTGGTTCGCCAATCCACAATGAGCTAGTCCGGCAGCAACGGTAACTGCTTTATCAGCGAGGTCCCGTATCCTCAGTTGCAGGGGGCTGGTGATTGCGTTCAAAGGATCTTATCGGGTCAAGGCTTTACAGGCATATAGGGTTTGTAGAAAGCCGAGCAACGATTGTAAATCCTTGTGGAAAGCCTTCTGTTCCTGCTCCTCGGCAGTCAGCTCCTGGAATCAGGCAGTACAATCCCCGTGAAGAGGTTAGTTGGAAACCCATCTCCGATGGTCCTTTTTGCCCTTTCGATTCTTTCCTTGGCCTTTGCCTCCTTTGGGATTTCCCGTGGTGGTGAACTTTCCCATCTCAGCAACTTTCCCCTCCAGCACTTCTCCGACGGCGGTGCGTTCCGCCTTATTCGAAGATGGAGTCGTCGTTGCTGTGGTCTTGTTGCCCACTCTGTTGATGCTGGCACCTCAAGGCGGATTGAAACCTTTAAAGCAATAGTAAACTATTGTGCGATCACACGGTGGTCTTCATGACGACAAGGCACTGCTGATAGCGACGTTCTTGAATACCTTATATATACGCCACTCAGGGCTGTCGAATTGGGGGTGCTTCTTCCCCACTTGGCCTTGCAGTAGATCCAAGCAAGGAACCAACCAATGTTCCATAGGGCAACGTACTATAATTATTGAGGCAACGACTCTTCTGGATGTTCTCCACGAAGGCTACCCCTCCTGGCAAACCTTCGTACTTTTGCTTGATGATGCACAATGGAAGCTCTTCGTACTGCTCTTTCTCTTTGCTTTCAGAAAGCCTCAGTCGTGTCGATACATCGAGGCTAGCTAGCACATCACACAAACACGGCAACATATAAGAGAGCCCAAAAACTCCTCGTAGTACGGCGAGACCTCGATGGTTGCCAAATTCTCCTTGTCCAACAAGAAAGCCTTTAGAAAGGCGAACCTTAGGTCTCGGCTTTGGTGTCGGTTTTGTGGGTGAGGGCTTTAAGATTTTGGCGATGTATATACCGTTGAATGCAGGGTAAGCCACCGTGCCAAAGATCCCGCTGGTGTTGCGGCCCATTGAGCAACTAGACCTTTGCGTAGCCCTGCGGGTCACCATACTTCATCGACACCATCAGTCTTCCAGTACAACTAGCACATTTATGGGGGTTTACGTGTATGGGGGATTGTAGGGTTTTAGGGTTAACCGGCCTTGACCGTTGGTCATCCGGCGTCTGAGTTTCTCATTCAAGGCCTTGCGCTGCTGGAGCGGGATATCACTGGGCTTCTGCAGAGCCTGGGCTGGCAAGAGAGGGAGAGAGGACTAGGGTTTAGGGTTTAGGGTTTAGGAGTTTAGGGGTTTAGGGTTTGTGGTTTACGTAGTTGAATTGAATCGTCTAGCTATTGCATGGCACCTCAATTTGTGCTCGTTCCTCGTCAGTCAACGGTCGGACCTCAGATTCGGTACAGATAATGAAGGTTTTCACACACATGCACTATTATGCGACATGTATCTGTTTGGTAAAGACATACTGCCACTGAGCCGCACCGTCAGTTTCGGGCACCACCAACGGTTCCATTTCCACAGGGCCGGTACCGTCACTCAGGGTTGAGATACCAGTATTCAAACGAAGAAGCGATTTCCCGGGCCTCGGTTTCAGATAGGCAGACACAGAAATGTAAAACGGCATCAGTAGTACGTTGCACATGTATGAACATGCAGACGGCTCAGGCTGTAAGTCTAGCAGCTTCGAAGCCGGGGAAGGGCTCGCCGCTGCAGTGGATCCCGCATCGGAGACTGCATGTAATAGTGGCTCGATCTAGGGAGTTGTTACTACTAGGACTTAGCAATTTTCGGTCATGGGATGACGAGATTGTGGCTTATGCTTTGGGGTTTGTTGGGGCTATGGGTTACTGGGAGTGTTATACAAACATGCGTGACTATAGGGCTGATTAATAGCCGACTAACACACCCACACACACACACACTAATGCACACAAACACACACAAAGACTCGGACATTAGCACACATGCACACCGACCCCCACGGCCTCCTCCGAAGGACACCCGGCGGACCACCGCGTTAGGCCGGTCATTGGCCCCATCAGCCTTGCGCTTGCCGTTGCTATCCGACTCCTCTTGCCGTTCAAGCTCACGCCCTTGCTGCCCTTGCCCTTGGTTCCATCACTTGCGTTGGCGTTGATCTGCCCTGCGCTTGATCCTTTGCCCTTTGGCTTCATCGAGCAGTTTGGTGACCCTGCCGGCGATGGCTGACTCGGGGGAGTACCTGTGCACGGGCTGTGTGCTGTAGTCTTTGGTGGCGGTGTCTGTGGGTGATCGGCCGGGTCCTTACCACCGCCCCCCTTTGTTGGAGCCTTACCATCGCCTTTGGTGCCACCTCCGCCCTTTGTTGCTATGGCATTGCCACCGCTGCTGGCTGAGTCCTTACCATCACCTTTGCCACCACCGCCACCGCCCTTCACTGCATCCTTACCTTTGGTTTTGCCAGACCCCTTTGATGCATCGACATCCGTGACACCGCCCTTTGCTGCATCCTTACCAACGGCTTTGCCACCACCCTTTGCTGCAGCCTTACCATGGCCTTTGCCACCGGCGCCACCGCCCTTCACCGCATCCTCACCGCTGGCGTTGCGGCCCTTCGTTGCATCCTTACCGTCGCCTTTGCTACCTCCACCCCCCTTTGCAACTGCATCCTTAGCCAGGCCACCCCTTGATGCATCCTTGCCAATGCCTTTGATGCCCTTTGCTGCATCCTTGCCGCCACCCGTGCCACCTCCACCCTTCGTTGCAACTGCGTCGGGGCCCAAGCCACCCTTTGATGCATCCTTACCAATGCCTTTGCTGCCCTTTGCTGCATCCTTACCATCGCCTTTGCCACCTCCACCCTTCATTGCAACTGCGGCGGGGCCCAAGCCACCCTTTGAAGCATCCTTACCAATGCCTTTGCTGCCCTTTGCTGTATCCTTACCATCACCTTTGCCACCTCCACCCTGCGTTGCAACTGCAATGCCACCACCCTTCACTGCATCCTTGCCATTGGCTTTGCCAAAGCCCTTTGATGCATCCTCACCGGTGGCTTTGCCACCCTTCCTTGCATCCTTACCGTCGCCTTTGCTACATCCAACCCCCTTTGCAACTGCACCCTTGCCCAGGCCGCCACCCTTTGATGCATGCTCACCGCCGGCTTTGCCACCCGTTGCTGCATCCTTACCACCGGGTTTGCCACCACCTTTTGAGGCATTGCCTTTTGCCCCGCTTTCATCGCCACCGCCCTTTGCTGGACTTTTACCCTGGGTTTTGCCACCGCTGCCACCCTTTGCTGCACTGCCGCCCTTGGTTGTACCGTTGCCGGAGCCCTTTGGCACAGCTTTACCGGCATTGCCGCTTGGGGACAGGGTCTCTGAAGGAACCTTGCCAACGTACTCGTAATGTCGTGGCTGTGTTTCCACCGACACACAGACGCCTTCACCAGGCGAACTGGATGGGGAACCGGAGCCCCCCTTCTTTCCTTTAGCCCCCATGGCGGAACCAAGCTAAAGATCCGCAAATTTGATCCTCGATGATGCTTCGGGGCGCGTGCGAATTGCTATTAAGTGCTGAACTACCGATACACGCTGATACACGCTGTTCGGTGGTATATACCCGCAAATACACGCAGATACACGGGTATACACGCTACCGGTTCGTACTGCTTCGGATTGGCTTCGCTATAGGCTAGGGTAGTATATACACACAGCGGTTCGTTTTGAAGCGCCCCGTATGCAGCCCCTGCACGACAAAACTGCTCATTGGCCACACTAATGCTGGCAGCTGACCCGACTCTCGATCTCAAGCCACTGCACCAGGATTGCAGCGGCAACACTGGAGACCCTTCACAGCTGGCATCTTACTTGCCGACCAAGTTCTCGAGGCCCGAATCAGAGCTGGCATCATCCGTGTCATCAAATAGTTCCATATTAACCTCGTCGACAACGGGTTCTGGTTTCATAGTCTTGAAGTGCGTATCCAGTAGGTCTGCAACCTGCACACACTCATCGGTTCTATACATGTGTGCTAGCCAGTCTATGTGTTGTGACCGAATTTGTAGCTTCAGTTTCAGACCAGTGGCATTCATCGCGAATTTGCCTGGATAGATAGCAGTAGCCGTCAGGTCTTTCCCACCGACCTGATCTGTGCAGATGAAGCTCTATATAGGTGTTGCTATACGTGCTATATAAATCGACCCATTGCGAATACCAGGATACTCGGCGATGGCGGCCTTGGACATCAATATATCCCCGGCTGATATCCATCTTCGCGAAGGATTGGATGCGTCGCAGCTGATTCCTGCAATAAGGCATATGAGTCACTGGGACGCGCCTTGTAATGTGGGCGACTATATCTGGACTTAAGAACGGGGTTTTTGGAGTGGTCGATCAGCTTCACTTACTTCATTTACATACCCAGGTTCTTTGGATATAATGTCGTAAGAACTAATTGATTAATGTTTCTTACCGATGCATTCGAAGATCCCGGAATAAAGCTCTACATTGCTCCCTAAAAGAACAACTCTAAGTGTTACCTAAACGGTTCAGGGTTTAGGGTTTTACAAGGAAAAAGGGTTTATAAGGCTAGGAAAAGGACTGGGTTTGTTCAATCAAGAAAAGTCATGCACCGAATCAGTTGCAAAAAGATAACTGGTTCAATGAGCCAGCTGCTCACGGGGAAGTTCGTAGGTTAGTTGGATTCGTTGGCCGGTCCTCGGCATTGGGGTCGCTGGGGCAAATATAAGGGGGCCCGTGACAGTTTATAAGATAAGTCATTGCTAGCAGTTGTATAATCAGTTGTTAGCTAGCTAGCTGGTTGTATATAGCTAGCTAGCAACTATTGCGTAACTTCATTTTTAAGCTTGATATTTTAGTTAATTAGTACATGCTGGTTTTATAAGTTAGGAAGATGGATAGCTAGTTAACCATTCTATAAGTTAGGTATAGCTGCTTAAAGCAATTACAATACAACTCGATCCTCCTCGATCCACTCATCTGTTCGTACAGCTTGGGCAGAAAAGGTGCGGTTCCCCATAGCGTAACCTGGGCAAATGCGGGATTCTTTAAAGCCTTCTCAGTAGTTTCATTAGACAAGTTATTTCCCGGGTACACCCATCTATCATTCAAGCAGCACATTTTCTTGACGGCGCACCCACGGCACCCAGACATATGTTCAGGCCTTTGGCTTTGTGCGCTTTCAGTCTGGCCTCAGGATAATTATATAGTTGGCATTGCAGCAACGAACAAGCATTGCATGAGCTATATCTAGTGCCTGCTGGTATGATCAAGTCGGAACACTCGAATACAGGGCATCTCGAATAACATGGAGCCGGTCGGGTTCTCGAGAATGTAGTACGAGCCGGATCGGAAATGATACTCCAACCTGAGAACACTCTTGAAATCGCAATGGATCACGATCCTCGATCGTGATATACATGGATCGTTGGTGAGTGAAACGTAGATCTTCCGCAAAAGACTGTACATATTTTTGTGGGCCGTGTGACTTGCGATCTTCGTGACTGGATTTCTTGGGGAAATCATGAATTATATGCTCAGTTTCATGGCATATGGTTTACGGATCAGATCGAGCAACGGCATGATGATCTTCTGATCATCCCAAGTATGGGATCTAACCAGTGAATAGGAACGAACAAGGGAATGGGATCTAGAGGCCGAACAGCCCGCGCTGGTAAGGACAGGGCGTACGCCTTCGAGGCTCGCCTGTCCTGTCTGGAGGGTGAGGGGTGTTTCGAGCCTGGTGGCTCGGACAGGGGCCTTCTTCGCTACGCTGGCGCGGAGGCTCTTGACCTCGCGCCAGGCGATGGGGTGCTGGTACCGGTGGACCGACGCAAGACGGGACCTTGTGCGAGGCTGTCTTCCCGGTCGACTGCGGTGTTGAGGCAGTTCCAGGTGCCTGGACTATACCGGGGCCAAGGAGGGCTTTGTCCTTCTGGCGGCCCAGGACACCGACTGGACCTTCGGGATGCTCCAGCAAGAGCTGTGAGTCGTGCGGCGTCTCCGCTTTCCCCGAAGTTCCTGAGGAGCGCTTCTCCTGCGGGGCCACGGACAGGCCCGCGGTGAGAAGCTACCAGGGGTGTACGTCCTGCTCTCGGTCTATAGGGGGCGCCTAGGCGCTAAGACCAAGGTAGGCGTACTTGCGCTCTTGACGGCTGCGTCAGCATTCCTGGGCGGCGGCTCTTTCGAGCGCCCCGTCGAGGACCCGACGGTCGTCACCTACTTGGGTAACGTGCCCAGTCCTTGAGGACGTGTTGGACCTTAAAGCGCCCCCACCCTTCCCAAACAGACCTTAAACATGAGTCTTCAAAGCTTTAAGGCACATTTGGATTTTTTAAGGTCCATTTGGGCGTTGTTCAGCAACATGGCAAAACCAGGATGAAGAGCATCATTGAGCATTGGTTTGAGCATTCGAACCAAGGAAATAGGCCAAGTATCATGAAGCATCGGCATGAGCCATACATCGAGCAAAGAACAAACCAACACATAGCAACATACTTATGCACATGTTTTTCAAGCGGAAGCATCCCGTGTAGCACAGAACAAACAAAAAACATCCCTTTGACCCAGAGAGCCAAGCAAGCAACCCAAATGGGGGTTTAGGGATGTTTACGGCAATGCCCTATTTACACTAAGTATAACCCCTGATCAGGAATTACTTATTCAGGTTGCTTCTTCTGATCGTTAGAAAGTCGTATGACGACACTGCAGTACTGGTCGGGTTTTGTTTCCAAGATACACATGCACACATCGACATATATACACATATAACTAAACATCTACACATACAGTACATACACTGTTTACACACACTTGTTCTGATCACTATTACAACACATACCTGTATTTACATATATGTGTGTGGTGTGTATGTATGCATGCACGTATGCACGCACCTACCTATGTAGGTAGGTATGTACGTATGTATGTTGCAAGAGAAAAACATCATGCAGCAACATCGCGTTGAGCCGTTGGGCCAACAAAACAACATAAGTTTGATCCAGCTGAGCCAACAAAAGCAACTGTTAAGTCGACAAACGCATAATATGGGGGGATAAAGGCGGTTGGGGGTCGGGGGTTGCCCTCTGTTATAATCCTTGATGAGTTAGCTACTGTAGGGTTACGGAGATGTTTGGTCAAGCAGGTTGTTCATTTTCTGAGGTTTATGGTAGGTGGGGATACAGACACCAATGTATGGAATGCTCTCTTGGCGTTATAAGATATAATGCTCTGCATGCAGCCTGTATTGTTTGAACTTGGGGTGGGTGAAGACTTCTGCAAGGAAAATATATAGGGGCCCACCTTGGCCTTTTAAGCTATTGTTCTGCAACTCTGCAGCTATTAACGGGATATCTGGTAGGTTGTTCCGCAGGTAGCTTACTGTCTGAAACAAGTATTTCGGAGCACGGAAACCATGTTTAGTCCGAAAAGCTTTTGCTTCTGAAGCTGACAAATTTCTGTTTGCCAAGATGTCCAATGAATTTTCCAATGAATGTTGAATCATTTCAGCTTGTGCAATGCTAATAATTTTGAAACATTGATCCTCTCAACGTTCACACAATTAAATACCCGAAACTAAGGTCCCATGCCCTCATCAGCTTCATTTCAAGCAGCTTTGTCTGAAAATGCGCTAAGACAAAGCTAGGACAAGTATTTTTGGGGGCTTCGGCTTTTAAAGCTGTTGGTATTTTTGGATAAGTGATAGGAGGGTTTGGCGATTCAAAGCTTTAATTGGCCAATTCGAACCAATTTTTGTCTGCGCTGCTGGCTTGAGGCAGTGATCCATGTCAGACTTCGATGGTTGTATCAATCACATCGCAGGAAATGGCGTCGACAGTGCTATGAGGTGTAAAAAAGCCTCCAAACCACGTGAAACAGGACCCTTGAAATAATCCACCTGCTTTTCGAGCCTTGAAATTCGTCGATCCTGTGAGTAGACTGGGAGTCGTCCTTTAAAACGTGTTTCCGTGTATTTCATGATGCAAAAATGTTGTGAATGCAGCATTCACACTTTTCACGGTGTTTATGGTCCATTTGGGGTTGTTTTATGGTCCTTTTCACGCTTTTTCACGCGGGCAGTCCGCGTGAGCCGAGACGCGCTGAGTTTTCTGCTCCAAAAACATTGCTGAGCAAATTTGCGTAGCAGGGCACACGCAGAGCGTGAAATTTCACGGCACGCGCCGTGAAATCGTGAAATTCAGAACTGTCTGGCAACACAATAAAAAAAAGCAGCCCCGTGAAATTCTATGACACATGACAACCGTGAATTCACACATGGCAAGTTGGAAAACGATCATTTTGTGGCACTGTCTTAAGGATTTTACTGGCCGTTTTCATGTTTTTCACGTGGGCAGTCCGCGTGCAACTTGTGAACTGCAGGCACACACCCAAGATGCTAAGTTTTTTTGAACAAACAGCATCGAACAAATTTACTTCGAGATGCCAGCTATAGCAGCTATGAAGCCACAGGCAGGGCGTGCAAATACACGGAACCCACCGTGAAAAAAAGTGCCAAATCGTGAAACTCGGCCAAGACTGCCCCGTGAAAAACGTGATTTCACGCGTTGCCGGTTGGAGAGCTACAAGCGCACGATCCATTTGGGGATTTTGGTCCTCTGCACGTTTTGGCCGGGCGGCCGGTCTGCGTGAAACTTGTGAATTTACTGCTCACCACCAATATTGAAAAATGTTAAGATTTCTGCTGCAAAGGATTGAGAAGAGTTCCTTATGATAGAGATGCCAGCACTGAAGCACACAAGCAGGGCGTGAAAATTCACAGCATGCGCCGTGAACAAGCGTGCCAACATGTGAAACTCAGAACTGTCTAGTTTTCAACATAAAGACGGTGATTCGTGAAATTCTGTGGACTTGGTTTTATAGGTTGCAGGGCAACTAGTCTAGGTTTCCGCTTGTGCCTTTCATTCCAAGGTCTGGCGCATACACATACTTCAACACATCTATAAAGCACTGCGAGCTCAACATCGCTCATCAAGAGCAACAACAAGATGAACACGAGTACTTCCAAGAACTGCTGCGGAAAGATGAATTAATGCATCGAGAACGAAACTGCTAGTACAGCTGCTGCTGTTGCTGCTGCTGCTCCTCCTACTACTACTACTACTACTGCTGCTGCTGCTGCTGCCGCTGCGCTACTAGTGCGACTAGTATACTATTACTACGACGACGACTATACTACTACTACTGCTAGTACTAGTGTTAATGCTAGTGCTAGTCCTAGTCCTCGTCCTAGT